TAAAAAAACACGGGGGCCCCTCTGTATTTTATAAGTGTTCCCCCACAGAAGGGTGAAAATAATTTTTTTCGACCGTGGAGGCCCCTCACCCCTCCCCTCCATACACACCACACACATTGGGGGCGCTCACGCGCGCACATACACACAAACACACAAACACACACACAGACAAACACACACAAACACACACACACTCACACACACTCACACACACACACACACACACACACACACACACACACACACACACACACACACAAACGCGAGCGCGCATGCACTCAAAAACACAAAAAATAAATTAAGCTAATCGAAACATCCAAAATCACAAAAAGGCAAAGAGATAACCAAAATTTGTAGTAGAATCTATTGTGATTAGCAACTCACAAAAACGATTGAACACTTTAAAAAACAAACCAACCCCCCCCCCCAACTTTTTCATTCACATATTTTTTTTAAACAGTTCGTGGGAAACTTTATTGTTTTGGGTTTTAATTTTGGAATAAAGCTTGAATGCTATAAAGGCTCGACAGGGATATTGCGGGATTGGTTTAATAAATTGATTTTGTAAATGATTGCAGTTATATAACTTTGAACTAAAATCACATTGCATCGCTTTTACCACGTCCTTTGTACACTCAGACATGTTTTTAGTACGTGTTTAAACGTCACTTGCAACACACTTAGGTCATATAATATTAAGTAGGCCTATCGAAGATTGGAGGTATTACAAGAGAAGCACAAACACATAAAAATGAGACCGTAGGACATTAGATAGGAAAGAAGAAGCAGACCACACCAGAGCACCCAACAATCACGCATGCACACACAGATAGAGTAAGCGAGATGTATAGATAGATGAGCATAATAGATAGATAGATAGATAGATAGATAGATAGATAGATAGATAGATAGATAGATAGATAGATAGATAGATAGATAGATAGAGTGAGAGAGAGAGCGAGAGAGAGAGAGAGAGAGAGAGAGAGAGAGAGAGAGAGAGAGAGAGAGAGAGAGAGAGAGAAAGAGAGAGAGAGAGAGAGAGAGAGAGAGAGAGAGCAGCTGATGTTAAAAAATTACACGTGCGTGGTTGATACTATAATGTAACACAGTTGATTTTTACGTAATCGAGTTCATGAGGATAATTAAAGGAAAAACATTAAAAACAAAACAAAAACCTGAAACTATCTAATAATATTATGGATTCTCATCTGTCTTCTGTCTGGTTGACAATGGGATGAAAGTTTGCTAGTCCTTCTAAATCGTTAATCTCCTTTTCAAACTGCATTTAGAGATTTCGATAATGTTTCCCTTTTCTTCTTTAATCCTCACTGGCGGCAGTTTATCCCCCCCCCCCTCCCGTTTTTTAAAAACACGTTTTCCACAATGCAGTTCTCAACTCATACAAGATCCTATTATTATCTTTGTATAATACACGTTTTTATAATTATTAATTTATTAAAAAGATACAAAATGCGAAAACTTTGTCATCTACCAAAAGACCAAACTGGCATATCGTTTTTGGAGACTTTTTAACCATAACACCGCACAGACCCCTTGAACTTTACCTGTGCTATGTGTTTCGTGTTTATTGTTGTTTATTCTGCTGCTAGAAACTAGAGCTTGAATACTGTGAGAGTGAAAACAAAAGTTCAGCAAAACACCAGAGACTATCAGGTTTTAAAAAAACAACAATACACGAGACTATTAACACATTCTAGAATCTAATTGTTTTATTTAGCCTACGACTACGGAAATGAGCTTGAAATGTGTCAACCTCGAATCAGATGTTTATCTTGTCTGTCTTACTCACGCACTGTCCACAGAGCGGGAGGAGATTATGGGCTTACTGATTGGTGAGGTGAGGAAATTATCCGTAAGAAATACCAACCTATGTTTTGTTTAACTATGAAGCTTAGTTCTATTATAAGTGAGTGTGACCAGTGCCGCCAGTGGGTGGCTTGTGACTCGCGACTGACTCATCTCATCATGCATGGCCGAGCCTAATCATTCTTCTATTTCTCATAGTTCAGAAATCTAAGGCTAAGTATTAGGCCTGCTGGTTCCCATGAAGAGCTGCAAATCTGTCTGTTTAAAAAAAAAATCAAATCTGTCTGTTTAAAAAAAAAATCTTAGTGAAATAGAGTAACAGATTTGATTTACGAAGTGTATACACAGACCCGTTAACCAGGAACAAAGTCACGAAGAAGTATACAGACCCTGAGGGAACTCTTTTGTGATTTCGGAAAGTTTCAGCGCCCAGACCCGGTTGAGAGAGAGAGAGAGAGAGAGAGAGAGAGAGAGAGAGAGAGAGAGAGAGAGAGAGAGAGAGAGAGAGAGAGAGAGAGAGAGAAGAGAAGAACAGAAGGGGAAGTGCTAGAAAATGTATGACATGCCCCAGTTGGCAGGAGGGAACGAATGAAAGATATATAGTGGGAAATAGGTGGGGAGAAAGAAAGACTGAGACAAAGTCAAAGAAAAAGAGAATGCGAGCGACAGAGAGAGAGAGAGAGAAAGAGAGAGAGAGAGAGAGAGAGAGAAACAGAGAGGATGACTGCTCGAGAGAAATTATGACATTGTTCTTTTCTCCAAATTGTGATTCCTCCAACTTCAAAACGGAGGAAAAACGATCGTTCATCGAAAAGACATGATCCATCCGCAATCTTCATTTAGATCTAGATCTAGGCTAGCCTCGAAACTAGATCAATGATTTATATGTCTGTCTGTCTAGATCTAGATCTAGATCTAGCCTAGGCCACAGATATAGAAGAACCTAGGTCTACCCTGAGCCAAGAGGGCGCTGAAACTTTCCGAAATCACAAAAGAGTTCCCCTACCGGGTCTGTGTATACTTTGTGACTTTGTTTCCCATAACCGGGTCTGTATGTACACACTCCCTTGATTAAGTAGTAGACACTCCATTGTTCGCAAATTATAAATGAATGAATTCTTGGATATATATAGAGCCGGAAGAATTAGCCCCCTTCCCCTCCTCACCACTGTATTCCCATATTTGCAGCCATAATATATATATATAAAATTATAATTCACTAAAGATATGTAGGCCTATATATTGGTTTTAGTCTCGAAAATATTAAACGGAGTGTCTACGTACAAAGTAACCGAGCACCTAGTATACGTACACGGTAACCGGGCACCTAGTCTCAGTATCTACGACAGTCTACGTACACGTTAACCGGAATGAATACAAATCAATATTTGTCCTGTGCTGTCACTTGATGAAAAAAAAAAGAAAATCTTGTCGGGTTCGCCATCATGACCGTTCAGTGAACCTGTCCGTTCGTATCACATAATGAGTACCGGTTGGGATCACCAAAGTTCATTCAAAGTCTGTGCGCTGCGAAGTATGGGCTCCGGAATGGGGGGATTATTGATTTTTTTAAAAGGTACATTCGGAGGAGGGGTGTGGTTGAAGGCAACACCGGATGACAAAAACTGAACTTGGAGTTCTGAGCTGCCCAGTTACCGTGTACGTGACATTGAGACTACATGCCTGGTTGCCTGTTACTGTACGTAGATTGAGGCTACATGCCCGGTTACCGTGTACGTGACACTGAGACAAGTGCCCGGTTGCCGGTTACCGTGTACGTAGACACTGAAGCTAGGAGCCCGGTTACCTTGCTCGTAGACTCTCCGAAATTAAAATTAAAATTTTTTAGCTTTGTTCTTTACTGGCTTTTACTGCCTTGTTATTGATTATTTTAATTTTTTATTCTGATTCTTGTTCTCATTGCTTTTAGTCAAAGGGAAACACTTCAGGGTGTTTCGATTGATGAGAGAAGATGAAGTCCAATTTTATGATCCCCCTGCTTTGAATGGGATCTTAACCGATGATGATGATCATCATCATCATTGCCTTTCTCACCCTGCTCCAGGGTATAGGCCACGGACAAACACCTTCCACCTCTCTGTATCCTGGGCTAGCCTCTTGATGTTATTCCATGTTAACCGATGATGAAGTAACTAAATTTCTCTTTTAAAATGTAAATTTAGGTATAAATATATTTCTAGTCTTTTTCATAACAAGAATCGTTCTTTTTAAAAATCTTGCAGGTGGATGAGGAAAGGGCACTACACATTTCTTCTGTGGTCATTCTACGAAGGTCAGACAAGCAGCCAGATCGTGTTGAAATCTCACCTGAACAGCAGTCAGATGCTTCCATCAAAGCAGAGGTATGTATGCTATCTGACACTGGCCTTTAACTCATTTGTTGCCAGTTTCCTTTAGGTCATTTGTTGCCAGTCTCCTTTAACTCATCTGTTGCCTGTGTGGGGGAGTTTCGGGTAAAATCATTTAGATGTGCTGGGTACTGCCATTACCTTCTAAACTCTTCAGGTTAGAGTTTCCATTTTTTTTCTACTGTTACCCCTTATGTGTTTCAGGGTTAGACTTCGGATGTATGTAAGGCTAAATGCTGTCCTTTTTTAGTTGATTGAGCGTTCTTTGAGTTAGCACATCCCTTGATAACTACTGATTAGATTTGGATTTTTTTTTTTGTCAGTTGATAAAGAACACATTTTAACCCGATGGCGAACGAACTTCGGAACATCTTCAAACTAATGGATCCATACCCATGGGCTGAGTCAGATTTAGACTTTAATTTAGTGCTGAAGAAGATAAAAATGATGCTGGCCTAAAAAGTTATGTAGAAGACTCAGAGTTTGGTATTAAAGGCAATTGGAAGGCTGTAGGGATTACTGACAATGAACTTAATGATCTATTTTAGACGTAGCAGCTTCATTAAAAAACAATTTTTTAAATCAAAATCTTGACACATTTGCCAAAGATCGTTGGAAAAAAAATAGTCTGTCAGGATATTTTGGAAATCTCTTTTGCATTTCATTGTGCAGTGTGTTTTATTACCATTTTGCATGTTAAGTTCTTTGTTCGATGGTGAATAATGTCACACAATAATTTTTTAAAATAGGTTCCTCCTATACGCTCGGCATTCGTTGGTTATTTAGTTATAAATTATAATAAAGTGCTTGGCAGTGAGTATGTTAATGACATAGAGACTGTAGTTCATTCGAGCAGATACAGAGATGTGTTATTTTCACCAAACTGTAAAAGTGAAAATCTTCTGTATTTCCCATCCTCAATCTTCTTTATCATACATACAGTGTTTTGGCAGAGAAAAGTATTGCAACATCAATATTGGTTTTTATTGATTATGTGCTGTGTGTTTCAGATACATCATTGACAGCATGCCCAACTTCGTCCACAGAATAATGGACACTCTTGCTGCAGCAAAAGAGAGCAGAATGGGTAACAGGGAAAGATCAGGGGAATGTAGCTTTTTTTTTGAGAGCATCCGAGCAAAGGAATGAATGGAAAAACCATGATCGCCGATATCTGTCACAGATCTGGCACTGGATGATGATGATGTTTTATACTTCTATTATAATCTCTTTAAGTCAAAGAGCTAGTGAGGAAAGGTACAATAATATCTCCCTTTTTTAAACTCAGTTTTATGGGTACAGAGTTCATACACGTGTCTTTGCACTGTTGACTTCGGATGAGTTGATGTCATCGTGGGAGTGAAAATAAGATCAACTCATCTATAAAGTTCAGCTTATCCGTTGGGACCTGTAAAGAAGAAGTGATGGGACCCAAGAAAAAGATCGACTTTACTGAAGATCAACTCAAATGAGTTCACGTTCAACACAAGTGGTGTCGACTGCATTAATGATACACTATATTTTCTCTCTTTTCAGCAACTTGCCAAAGAATTGAACAGGCCCTTGAGGGTAGTTGGTTGGTATCACTCTCACCCACACATCACAGTATGGCCGTCTCATGTTGGTGAGCAAGTATTATCTGGTAAAGGTCTTTTTGAGGTCTCTATTTGGAGCATACTTGACCAACAATGGTTGTCTGTGATCTGTGCACTCTGTGGGGTTGTCATGATGTTCTGCTCAAAAGACAATTTTGACTTATTATTTGAAGAAATGAGACCTCAATTAGGCCTATACCTGTTATCTTTAAATACATTAAAGATATAATGATAGTACCCCTAGTAAGTATTCACTGTAGGTCAATCTTAAACAGTAGGCGTAAAGGTGATGGTTAAAAACAGAGGAAGAAATAAAATGCACAACTCGTTGCAACTCCCAGAGCAGTGAGCAGCTTGTTGGTGTTCACAATCTTTTGCGCTCAGTGGCAGTAAAAGTACTGGTAGCTTGTGAGTGCTGGCCCTGGCTCTGACAAATTTTCCACTGACTTTAGTACACTTTCCTCATTACACTGGCCTACAAAATTTAAAAAAGGTTCTGCTTCCGAGATCAAACATCACTTTTTACATGGATGCTGGGGCGCTCAACCCGAAAATGATAGTGGAATTTGTTGTTTAGGTCTAGTTTTTTAGATCTTCAGGTTTTTATATTTTACAGATAATATAAAAGGACTAAAAATGGGGGTACACAGGTATTGCAGCTTATGTGATGAGTCCAACTTTTCTTTTTGTCACTAACTTTGCGTCTAAAACAAGGTAAAAAGCCTTTATTGTTTGATGTCGTTCTCCTTTGTGCAGTATAGATAATTTTTCCACAAGTATAATAGAATCTGTCAAGATTTTTTAAAACAATGATGAGGCATAATGATTATTGAAGTAGAGTGGAATAAGCTATTTCAGGTTCTGAAACACTGTTTGCTGAGCGGAAACTAAATGGTCACAATGAAGCAACAACTAAAACTTATTTGCAGCTTAAAATTACAGATACCAAGTGCCCTTTGTATTTATTTAAAGCTAAATAAAATTTAAAAAACAACCTCAAGCTATATCTTAAAAAAACTAGATGTAAACATGAAAAAGCGACTCATTTTTGCATTCAGTTTCAGCTCCCCCAAATTAGTCAATATTTCTGATTTTAAGCCAGAAGCAATTTCATTGTAGACCAGTGTTATAAATGGAAAAAAAAAAAGGCAACAGCTTAATGTCATTGTGAAACTTTGTCATAGCAAAGCCTAGCATTGAGGAAATCCTGAGAGAGAAACGAGTGGCTCCCTTACCTTGTTTTGGTTTGATCCAACACTGTATTGCATTTTTTACAGGCTTTCTGCAGCCGGATTTAACACGCAAAAATCAAAATGAAAAACAATTCCTGTGCTGCAGCTAATAATAACAGTGTTTTATGATTTCTTTCAAAGCCTGAAGTATATTTTTTCAAATTGGTGAGAAATAAATTTGAAAATCCGAGACGCCTTTTGTTTTATTTGAGTTGAAAGTGCATTTATCCCTTATGCAACCACTTCTCTTGAAATTATATGTATTAAACTGCCGTTCTTTTTATTGTTGCCTTCAGATTTGCGAACTCAAGCCAGCTATCAGCAGATGGATGATGGTTTTGTTGGTCTGATTTTCTCAGTGTTCAATGAGGACAAAGTCTCAAAGGTAATATCATCATGTGCAATATCAGACGAGAGCTGATGGTGACTGTCTGATCTCCTTGTTTGGAGAGAAATTAATTCTTATTTATTGCATTGTGTAAACAGGGAACATTTGGACATGGACATATCAAGAATTGCTTTTTTGGGAAGGCTACTTTATCTGTTGGTTTGTGTTTGCAGACATGATGCAGTGCTGTTTGAATGCTGATAATTTGCAGTTTTAGGCATTTTCTTAGACAACAATTCACCATTTTACTGCTTTGAAACTAAATCTGTGTAAATTTAGAGATTGATGTTAAAATTTCTCTCTATAAATTGTCATACCCTACACAGTATAATGCTTTTGTAATGAAACTTAAAGCTTACATTACCTGGGAATAGTGTTGTTTAAAAGACCAGTTTGTCATATTTTATCAATATGTAATATTTGTATGCAGAAAAATTCAGAAGTTGATATGGCATCTTCACTAAACTTTTATCCCCTCTGCTAACAAAAATAATAACTTCTTTTTTTTTCTTCAGTTCAATAAAATTCAAGTGACTTGTTTCCAGTCAAGACAAATCAACTCAGAGTAAGTGCCTTTTCCATAGGAAATCTTTGGTACTGGCTGTACTGTGTGTCTGGGGAGTGGAGATGTTTTGATTTGTCATTGATGTTGTTTCATGTTTATTGGGTGGTTCTGGCAGTTCTCATGTGGTCTGCTTCTTTTTGATTTCACTACTATTGTATGGACAATCAATAAACAGCTGAAGGACAATTTTGGTGACGAAGTTGTGGTTCATAAGACGCATGCTACGTATCCCATGGAGAGCTAGAAAAACAAATGAAGAAGTCTTGGTTGAAGTAAATTGTAGAAGACAGCTTACGACGAATATAAGAAAGCGACAGGCAAATTTCTTCGGACACACAATGCGGAAAGAAGCATTGGAGAAAATTGTAACAACTGGCAAGTTTGATGGAAAGAGGCAGAGGCAGACAGAGGGAAAAGATACTGGACAAGATGACAACATGGCTAGGAGCAGCAAGAACAACAGACACCATTGCTGTAACGCAAGACAGAGTGAAGTGGAGGTCCTTAATCGCCCACGCCAGTCGGCTAGGCACAGGATGATGATGACTATTGTTTTAACTGTTTCATTAGGGACTGCGTTGTAACAGTTTTAATCTCTTTGCTGTTTCATGCGAAAGACATAAGTTCATTTCTAAGTGAGGAAGCCATTTTGTTGAGTATCTCCGTCTATCTGCGTGGATGATTCATCCCACCCAGCCTGGATTGGTCCTGACAGACAAGGTCGAAGCAGCTCACCTCCTAATAAATGGTGTCAAGTGTTTCAAAAGGGTCTGGAAACATTAGCTGTCATTGCAATATACAATTGGGCACGGATAACTCAAACATATGGTGAGTCTGACAATTGTGTTTGACATATATCCATAGTTTGGGTAAAACGAACAATTAAAGAGATATTGAAGGAAATCAAGGGAAGTAACTATTACGGTACAATAGTAGGAAAATAGATCACTGCAGATTTACTGTAGCAGAATCGCTGCACGCAACTTTTTGAGTGATGCTGTGTCTCTTTTTGAACATGTCCAATCATTCTGTGTTGCATGTGAAGTCAAGGCCAAGTTCTTTTGCGATTCCATTTGTTTTTGTCTTCAGGATGGGGTCAGAAATAAGAACAGACATAGCATGTTCTTGCTGAAAAAATTGAAACAATGCGGGCTCGATATTCTTGAATTTAGCAAAGTGCACTCGCATTCTGTGTGGCTGACATCCAATGATGGCCCTTTTGATTTTACCATGATTTTTTAAAAAGTGGGAAACATTGAGTTGGGGATCAGGATTTCTTGCTTGTCAACCTCTGCTAAAATTTAATGCTAGGTTTCTATGATCTACCAATTAAAGTTTTGTCTGCCATCATGAAAAGTACCTGGTATCGATAAAAGGATAGAAGGATGGACAGCGCATGTGCTTTGTTCAGTGTCAAAGCCAGGTAAAAGAAGAGAGTATTGCTGAAGAGCCTTCCTCAAAAACAAAATTATTTTTACGTCAGATCAGGATCATGATGATATAACCAATACTTGTGAGAATACACCACACACCCTTCTTGTGTAATCTATGTAAGTCACTTCCCTTTCAGTACCTTCATTTTTAAACAACAAGACACATACATACACACACATGCACACAAACACTAAACACAATTCACACGCTATGTGGCTCAATTCAGCACCAAACTGTCTGTCTGTCTTTGATCACACCCCACTGCTCAGACCACCCGCACATGACAAGATTCAAGGAAGTTCTAGTGCCTTACACACGCTAGTCTACCATTTGCGTACGATGATGTATCTCGATAACAGCAGTGTGAATCACGCTGTACGAGGGTTAGCCTGGTGGGCACATGTAACCTGATACTCTCGATATTGATGGTTGTGCTGTTCTCCATTGTGTGGGCAGAGTGAATGTGAGGAATAGTTTGATCAGGTTTTTTGAGTGGAACTGTTTGAGATATCTGTACAGGTGTTTTAGAAAACTATGTTGCCAATAAATACAAAGAAAATCTAGCTTTTCAGTCGGAGAATGGCATATCGTTTGAGACAACAGTAAATGTTAATTTTTCTGTCTTTGTGTTATCAATGCCCTACTGTATCTATTTCTTAGGAAAATGTTGTATTGTTTTTCCTAATCTGCTGATAGCTATCACTAATAATGCTTGAGTATATGTGTGAAATGGGTTGTATCAGTGCTGTTCCATGCCCGGTCCGCTGGTGCCCCCCCCCCGACACGCACACATAGTCACACGCGTGCAGGCCTGGTAAGTCCTACTTCTTTACTTTCCCACTATTGTTTTTGTCTGTATGTCTTACTTTTCCCAGCACTAAATGACCATCATTGTGTCCATGTGCTTCTCTTTACTCAAAGAAACAAACAAATGCTGTTGGCTCTGATTAAACAATGCTTTGTGTAGAGCCTTGAGCTTGTGTGCAGACTGTTATTTTGTTTTTCTGATTTTCCATAAGTTTATCCCATTCTTAGTGACATGCGGTTATTTTACCTACAGAGGGTACAGTACAACCCAACAACTACCACAACCTACCTTGTCCACAGATTCCACAGAGCGGAGGTTCCCCTCAACGTGGTCCCCACCTGTCAGATTGGACCGGCCTGCCTGTCCTCTCTGGTGGAACTGCCAAAAATATTGTTGCAAGAGGAGGATGAAGCTTACGCCCGTGTCTCCGACCCTGCTGATCAGGATCTGCTGACACGAGTACACAATGCTTCCGGTAATTTTTTTTCCCTGCATTTTTTTTTTCCTTCGCCAAATTTGCTTAGAATCTAGGAATGCAGATATAAAGAGTTATCATCAGTTGTTTAGTGGAAGGATTTTTTGCGTTACGCGCGTAAGATGAGTTGAGTTCTCGCTTGGGGATGTTTGCTTGTTTAAGATAACAACGAAATGAACATGGCTTCCATGTATTGAGCTGAATCAAATTTTGATACAGTGGAACTCAGGTTTAACGAGCTCGGATTCATGGAGAGCTAATATTTAACGAAAGGAGATGGATTCACTGTATTTTTCCTTCTTTAAAATCAATTTTAAAAACCTGGATTCAACGAACACTTAAATCAGCAAGCTCGGATTCAACGAGGTCGCTTCCAGGGTGAACAGCCCCCCACAGACGTGGCTTCACTCATTTTTCTCCCACGTCTAACTTTAATCCCTGAAACCATCCTTTGCACCTGCATCGTGAACCATTATTCACTTAACCGATTGCATGCGACCAATCAGCAGCCTCCTTTCATACCAACACATGGTTTGTTGGCACGCACATGTGTCTATTCTAGCGTGTGTCAGGGTAGGATGGGCGGCCTGCACACGTGTGACTATGTGTGCGTGTCCGGGGTGGGGCACCAGCGGACCGGGCGTGGAACGGCGCTGATACAAACGCGTCAGTCTTTTTTTTCCTCTGGCAACTGATCATTATTAACATAATAAGCTAGTCTTGACGTAGATCTGCGTAATGAATTGTACGCTGATGTGTGGAATCAAAAGTTGCCATATGCTAGGCTCTACACAGCCACTCAACTTTTGGTAGACCATCGAGATGACACAGGAGTGCATTTGAACGAATCAGTCTTTTTTGCACAGCTCCATAATGTGCAGGCATTTCAAGCACCACTTGTTACTTCTCTTTATACATTGCTTGCTCAGTGCCTATAATGATCTACACAGAACCTCATGTTTGCTATAATAATGAACACTTGGATTAAACGAGATTTTGGGTCAGACACGGCGACCTCGTTGAATCCGAGTTGAATCCCCACGTGCATTAAAAAAATCATCGTTGCCTTTCTCACTCTGCACCAGGGTATAGGCCATGGACAAACACTTTCTACCTTTCTCTATCATTGATCATGGGCTAGCCTCTTGATATTATTCCCCACTTTTCTGTACAGTGGAATCCTGTTAAAACGAGAGGGTGGGGACCGGTGCAAAATGTCCATTATAGCAGGATTCTCGCTATAAGTGATCCAGTAATAAATTCAAGGAAAACTGTAAAGTAGGCCTAATCTATGAGTTTGGTATTCTGTTTATTTCCTTTTGCTATCTCCCCTGATGATGATTTTGTTTCAACATAACCTCTAGGTCTTACTTGATCAAAATTCGAATCAGATTTATTTCTCTAGCGCTAGATCTAGCGATGTGAACTGGCAGCTTGGCTTTGGCGATCAGAAAGAAAGGGCTCTGGACAAACTCGCTCGCTGTGTTTTCCCCCACCCCATCCCACCCTGTGGTGCATTCCGTCTGCTCGCGCACGTCACATATTTGCTCCATCCATCACATTGCTGTGACCTCTCCATCCCCGTATCAGAGAAGTGAGAGGCATGGTAGGCCTCGATAATCTATACTAGGCTTACAATGGCTTATCATGCGATGCGTTCTGCTTGTCTGCGCACGCCACACCCTCCCTACTCAGTCGCTCCGGCCTTCATTGTTGACACACATGGGCTCTCCTATTCTTTGCTTCGCTAGATCACCAACACGTTTCTCAACTGACGAGGTTTTGCATTATGTATAATAGGCCTATGCACTGTGCACAGCAACAGCAATTTCCGCTATAACCGACTCGCATGTTTGTCTGATAGCGCTATAGCAGTATTTTATTTACAAAGGTAAAGAGGAGAAAAAAACGGGGTTTTAGAATAGTGTCTTTATAACAGACTTCTCGTTTTTTCCGGACTCGTTATAAGTGGACTCCACTGTACATCAATTTCTGTGATTCTTCTCCAGGTTCCAAGCGGTCTCCTCCTTGATCTTTTACCCTGTGGATTCCAATCCAACACTGCATTAAAAAAATATTAAATTAGTATTATGACCTTGTCCAAGACATCCTCCTGTCCAAGACAACGACTTTTCTGCTAGACAATGAGTTGTTGCGCCTTTGATAATTTCAATTGTGAATCTATATATAATATCTCTCTTGTTTTGTCCCCCCTCAGTGTTTACCAAGTCCTTGTGTCATGTGATGGAGGTGGTCAGCGGTCCACTACTACACAGCCTGGAGCAGCGACTGCAGGCCAACAAACAGCGCACGGCTCATCTCCAGGAGGAGAAGGCACAACTAGAGGCGAGACTGAAGGCATTAGAGCAGAAGTCTGACAGACACCAACCCAAGTCTCTCATGGATTGTAGTTGAAGAAGTTTCGATAGAACAGTCCATGATTTCAAAGAGGAAAAAAAAATGTAGTTGGTGGTTTGAGGATATATCACTGGCAGGTGCTGCTTCTTTTCCTTTCCCTATGTTGTGTCAGTTTGTGTGTCTCGCCTTTTCCTGTTCTGAATGATCTTTATTGTGTTGAAACGTTTTTCTTTACTCTAAACAAAGAGAATAAAGAGATAATCATCATGATCGCAACGCTCACCAATGTTTCATTTGTTAAATATGTTTTTTAAATCACATAATAATATTGTAGTTTGTAGATTTTATAGTCACCTTCTGGGTCTTGCTTCGTGGGTCGTGAGTATGAAAAAAGAAAATTTTTAATGACTTTCTGTGGTGCAGGTTTTTGTTCCTGAAAGATCAAGTACGCACTCTCAATTTAGGTGTGATAACCTGATAACTTTATAGAGAAAGCACAGTGAAAAATAGCTCAGGTACTCATGCTAAGACAGGCAATTTGCGATGACTGAAGCTAGTGGGAAATCAGTTGACTTTTGTTGGAAAGAGTTTCAAGTCAATATTACTGTTTGGGAGTCTTTCTCTTAATCATGCCTCTCTCAAACCCCAAATCTCTCACTTCACTTTTCCTCAAACCCTTTTCTCTATTCCCTGACCTACTTAACTTTTCCTCCTACCCTTTTCTCTCGCCTCTGACCCACTTAGTTTTCTGCAAAAGCTGTGTGTGTGTGTGTGTGTGTGTGTGTGTGTGTGTGTGTGTGCGTGTGTGTGTGCATGCGTGTGTGTATGTGCACAAGTGTGTGTGTGAGGGCACGCTCGTGTATTCACATGCACATATGTTTTGTTTGTTTCTATTCTCTGTTCATTTTCACTTTACCCCTAACCCTTTCTATATGCCTTAAATAACTGCTCTGTTTGGTACCATCTGCCTTTGATTCTAGCTTTTTGGAGCTTATGAGCAACACTGGCTGTGGCCATTTGTACATACATTTATACTTGTGCAATTCTTTATGAACTGAAATTTGCTTGTATTATTTGATTTTTTTTTTTTCGGTTCTATTTTGTACTACTGTTTGATGTCATGGAAACATGACGGCTTTTTTTGGTTGTTATTGCCCCTATTTTAATAAAAAAAACTGATCCAAAGTATGTACATTTCAGCAGTGCTATTTTGCTATTTCTTAGACATCGTGAGGTTCTTTGCGTTTTTCCTTTCAATCCTTAGATAATATATTTTATTACTAATGAATTAGGATGCAGGCGACTCACTTCACAGGGATTTGGGAGAGGAGTGGTGGGGGGGGGGGGGGACTTTCAATAGCTCAACAGGTATGATGTGGTTCACTGTCAACCCAGAAGCTCTGTGTTTGATTCCTTCCAATGTCGTTTTTTAATTTTTTTATTCATGTTTTCTGCGTACTCTGATCTTTGTGTAGGTAGGATTGAGCACCTTGTCTTGTTTAATAAAGACAAGATTTCGGAGGCCTCATGTCGAAGTTCTGCATGTTTTAGATCCCTTGGTGGTTCTAAAGTTGAAAAGATGAAAAGAGTAATCCCCTTGCGCTGCCGTCCGTGAAGTTTCAGAATTAGTTCCCACCTATAACTCGAGCGACTCTAGTCAGTATAAATATTAAACTAGTTAAAGAGTACCTTCGAAAATTGCACGAAGCTGCCCGCTAGGCAAGGAATTATTCTACACTCTATAACTATAATTAAATATTGTATATATATAGATAAAACAGCGTCCTGCTGTGTGTGCACCGTCAAACCTCCTTATGTTAGGCCATTCCCAAAGGGGGGACATTTCTCGTTCTAATGCACTGCAGAATTGTAAATGGGCTGATCCAACAATGTCATGCTCATAACTGTACTGAACTGCATCAGGGAAATGCTGCTTTTTCTTTCCTAATCCTTGCTATCGTCATTTCCCTCTACTTCTTATGTATGTTTGTCACACTCTTGTGACCCGCTGTTTTTCGTGAAGCCTTGATAGTTTAAGCAGACTTTGTGCTGTTGAAGCTAGAGAGGTGAGCAGAGTAAGTCTGACTCCCTGTAAGGACTTCTCTGTTGACG